GCAGATAGTGGAGGGGGAAGAGCGCGGGAGCTGCGGGCGCTGCGCCTTCAGTGGGCAGAGAGCGCTATGGACTCGCCGAAGAGCCCCAGTTGCAGGGCAGCGAGCGGGCTGCTTTCGCCGGCCGGAGACGGTCGGTGGTGGGGGGGGGGGGGCGGTCCTCACTCCTCACTTTCACTCTCACTGAGTGGAAGTTACTGAGGTCACTGAGGTCGAGTGCTCTCACTGAGATGAGGTCAACAGGTGACCAGTGGTGACCAGTGATGGCTAGCACTGCGATTGAAACCGGTCCAAGCAGCACGGGGTAGGTATGCTGTATCGAGTACGCGTAGCTGATGGCCTGGCGATAGTGTAGGCCAGATATGAGAGAGAATTTAGTGAGGTGAGAGGTGAGAGGCGAGACGACAACACGAGCTCTCCAGGTCTCCTTGGTTCGAGGTCTTGGTCCCTGAGGATCACGCAGCAGTCCAGGCCCAGTCCACACGGTCGGTACCTGAGGTGGGCAGAAAGACAGCAATGTCAGCGGCCTTGGAGAAGCGAGTGGTGTGCGATGTGAGAACGGGCAAGAAGCTAATAGTAATAGTGGGTGTGTGATGGATGTGTGTGTGTATGTGTGTGTGTGTGAGGCGGAATGTGTGAAATGTGAGATGCAAGGTATGAGGTGTGAGGTGCGACAAGGATGCCGTGCGGGCGGCAAAAGCGGTGCGCCTCGGTCAGATGCGGTTTGCAAAGGTGAAGGACGATGACAGCGTGTGAGTGAGTGATGTTGTTGATGAGTATGTGTGATGAATGTTGCAATCTGCTCCACTCTGATCGGGAATAACTCAGGTCAACAGGGACAGCGGCAATGGGAATGATTACCTAGCACGCAGAGCGTTGCTTAGGTGAGGTGATTGAGTGAGTGAGTGAGCAGCAAGAACACTTGAAGGGGGGGGGGATATCCCGGTGTCTGGTGCTGAAGCCGAGCTGCGTCCGTCGTCGTCTCGAGTCAGGATTCCGTCGTTGGTATCTTCAACGGAGAACCTTGGTGGATAGGCTGCTGCCGACCTTGCCTTGGGGATCCGTAAGATGTCAAGGTCCAGTAGTGAGTATCGTCTGCAAGGTGAGAGACGGGCGACGATGCTACCGGGCCGGAGGTGCTAGGTAAGGACTATTGTAAGAGTCGGACGCTGGAGCACGCGATGGAGGGGAAATTCCAAGTGGGACAGGAGGCGGCGGGGCGCGGCGGTGGTCTCGGTAGCGTTATGTAGCGCAGCGCAAAGGAAGGGACCGTCTTTCTTTTCTCTGCTCAAGTGTGCAACGATGGCGCCAGTGATGGTCTTGAGATAGGTAGTCGATCCAAAGGGTGATCTGACGCGCTCTTGTACGGCGGAGTATCCAGCACAGATAGGCGGCTGGATGAGAAGGGGTTAAGAGGGGGCGACCAGACAGATATAACTGAGGGATCCGGGGGTAAGGTAAGGTGAGGTAAGGTAAGGTAAGGTAAGGTAAGGTAAGGTAGGGTGAGGTATCAAGATAAGATGGAGGGGGTTTGCAGTGTCAGACTTGCTGGATATCGTTGCGGGTGACGCGAGTGAAGTGGAACAAGCAAAGAGGAAATAGTAATAGTGAACACAGTGAACGGTCCGTGACCAGAGAGTCAAAGTTGATTCAGGTCCAGCGAGGGTCGAGGTTCGAGGTTCTATGCTCAGAGTCGCAACTGGGGTCGGTGATGGCGGAAGCTGATACCAAGATACCGCCAGATGACCCAATCGGCGAATCAGATGTTCGGCCCTCTCTGGAGCCTTGACCTGGGAGGTTGGAGATTAGATCAACTGGACCAGACAGCCTCAACGTGCCAGGATCTTGCTGGAGGACGGAGAGGCGAGTATCTCGCGGCTGGCAGAACGTAATCAAGATTATGTACGTACCTCGAAGGAGCAAGTGCTAAGCTGCAAGACCTAGTAGGTAAACTCCAGAAGCAGTGACGATGTGCTGATGGGTGTTTCTCTCCATGTGCTGCCGAGTAGTTCTGTAGCGAACAGGAGGGAAGTGAATTGCCCCAGCGGGCGTTGAAGCGGGGGTTCAGGTTGTCAAGGAGGCGATGGCAATCCCAGCTATGTTGCGGCAAAGGTCCAGTATCCAGATAAAGCACTGCCGACGCTCAGGGGTCATCTTTCAGGCCTGGCGGACCGTGGCGCTTCACTCGGAGCGGTGGAGGGTTCGGTAAGCAATCGACGGTGTTGATGCTCTGATGAGCTGGTTGGAGGCTGGAGCTTTGGTTTCCTCTTACTCCCAAAAGGGCTTTGAGATGGGGTGAGGTGCGGGCAGCCAACTTTGAAGCCGCTAAGCTAGGCAGCTTCAAGAGACGGCGTTGCTCCTATTAATAATGAGATTCAGATGGTGCGAAAGGTGAGAGGAATGGGACCGTGGGACTGAAGGATGGATACCTTCTAACGGCAGACTCGGAATCACCCACCCTCATATACCCCATCTCACAACATACCTGCCTCTCTCTCTCTCTTGCTTTGAGCTGAGTAAAAGTACAAGCAAACAGCAAAATAATACCTACATGGACATGCCGGCAGCATGAAGCTCAGTTCTCAAGCAGCACCCTCTTTTCATGCTCGCCTCATACTAAGTAATGTAGGTCTCGCTCCACAACAGTACGCCCACGATACCTCACTTCTATTGAAGCGAGGTAGTCTAGCCCTTCATCCCAAGCAAGTTATACACTCCTCTCAGTATCCCAACCACACGCAACAGTATCCATATGCCGTATCTGCCGTAGGCATCTACATCAAGGGTATCTGATGAACACGCCTTCGCCCCCTCTTCGCTTCACCCATGCTGCCATCCATTTTGCCGCACTCCTCCTCACCTCTTCCAACCCCATGTTCATATCCATATCCACGCCAAGCCACGCCCGAACGCCGTGTTAGTCGAACCTCACTCCTCGCACCCCAAGACATTCACCTTGTTTCTCGTACGAGCAAACATTTGATCCCTTCCTTCTTCGACTCTTCAAGGCCTGCAGAGATACACACGAGTACGCACCCACCACACCTAATGTTCAAATGTCTCTACTTCATTTCTTGTCATTGTCAACCCCCCTTTCACCACCATCCGTTCAGAAAGCAGGTGGCGTGCCTCCATCACGCGGCGACCCCATGATACACTCATCCTCTACTCTGTACCCCTCAGCCACCCATCTTGTCCAGGTCAAGACATTTGGGCTCACCGTCACGGAGGGGTCCAACAAGGGGGCCACCTCTCAATGATACATACACTTGTAAGAATGAATGGGGAAAGGATACGGTGTGAAGTGCAGTCAGCCGTGCGGGAGGAGTGTGGTTGGAAATACCGGTTCCCTTCTCGACACATGCCGCACCTCCCATCACCGCTGTGCGTCGGGAGGAGGCGAGCCAGGGTGCCAAAAGCGGGTGTCAGTGTTGGATGGATCATGAGCCGTGGGATCGCCAACCACTTATGCCCACCCACACCAGGATTGCTGCCGCTTTGCTACATACCGGTCGTCTGTGAAGCCTAAAGTACTAGCGAAATCTTGTAGACACACGCAGCTTCTGAGGTTTCTCTGGAGATTTTCAAAGGCGATCGGGAAGAGCTTATACCGCCTGCCTCGTCTCATCTCACTCAGTCTTCGTATGAGATTTCCATGAGTCCCACCTTCATTCTCATCAAGTTCTACATCAATCATCCATCGCACGTTTGTCAACGATGGTGAGGCCATCTGCTGCACTAAGCACTCGTGTCACAGTAGCAACCAGCATGCTGGGATCCTTTTCAGGCGCCTGGCGCCCTGTGCGACATCTTGACGATTGGACCCTCAGCAAACATTTGTCTGCTTGCCTCGTGTTTTCATAACTGCGTTGACTCAACTCACTCGTATCGATGAGCGTCTCAGTCGATGATGTGCATCTTGGATTCGCATCTCAGATGTTCGACGCATTAGGGTCATACTTGAGTTCCGAGACCTCAAATGGCGGGAATATTCGATATCAGAGTCCGTCAATAACATCATCGGCACCAATCATGGTCCATGCCGACGAACCCCTAAAGCCGCCCGTGTCTCTCAATAACTTGCTTTTTCTCATCTCTCTGATCTTGCATCGCAGGGTTCATTCAATGCCCATGGCAAAGCCGAAGGGGTCTGCCCAGTGTCTCGCCTATCTCGAGCCCATCTAGCATCACGGGTCTTTGTCTTTGACCTGCTGCGTTACTACCTCACCCTTCAACTGCAGAGCGACGTCTCGTCCCAAGGACACAGAGAGTTACATCAAAGCCCGTCACTCGACAATCTTGACTCGTCAGTCAGACGTGAGAAAAGCAATCGAGAAGGGCCATGGCAGTTCAATTGCGACCTGCTCCCTACAAGCTTAACCTGCCATGTCGGGCAAGGCGCGGGGCCGCGCGCGAGTCGTCGCCGCTCCAGGGTTGAAGCTGTGCGACATCAAACGCAACCCGATGCGATGAATCCCACCCCACGCAGACACACACCCGCATGCTGCTCGTGCTACGCAGTATTAGAGTCTGTTTACGCATGCAGCCGCTCGACGGGGAATACCTCAGTGCCCAGTGACGGGAGAGACACACAGACGAGACAGAAGGGAAGAGACAAGACTAGGCTAGACGAGAAAGATAGGGTTGATCGCTGCAGCAAAGCTCAACGAGTAAGAAGTAGCAAGTAATGAACATGTACGAATAGGTCAAGTAGCAAAGTAGTTGGTAATTGCTAGTTACCCCAGGGCCATACGAGACCGGCGCATTGCTCAGTCCGATCGTTGTCTTGGCTCCCTCCCGCCCTGTTCGTGCGTACGTACTGATCTGGTTATTCTTCTTACATTTCAACGTCCCCCACGCCGACCATGGACCGTTCAGTGTGTTTTTTACTCTTTACCAACCCGGTGGTTTTTAAAGACTTCACCTCGCGATGTCACAGTGCCTTCTCAGCATCGCAAAGTCCTAGTGACCTTGCCCAGCCCGATTCCCGGCCGACGGCGTCTTCAGCTTCCGACGGACGCATGTCTCTCCTGTAATATCAGAGGGCGTGTTATCAAGCAGCCCGGCGAGTCTGTCAAACCCGCAGACATAGATATCCCTTCTTCGCTGCCTATTTGCATGACGGCTATTCTTGAGAAGTTGACACTCCTGTCCGCCAACCTCTGCCATCTGGCTGGCTCGCCTCGCAGGGGTTCAGCTGCCGAGACAACGACACCTCCAGCAAGTGGCTAGGTGCGGTTTTTGTCATCTTTGCCCCGGCCGGCAGTGCCCCAGTGCCTCTCTTCTCTAAAGGATTTTGTTGCTCATTGTACAGTTTTCCCTGACCTGTTTCTCTTCCGTGGCGGTCCCTCCGAACCCGTTCTGCCCCAGTCAAACCTGCATCTGCCTCCTCTTTGAGACCCCGTTGCAGCTTCGGCCAGTAGCCACCCGTCTCACCGGCTCCTTTTGGGACAAGGTCAGCATGATGCAGCTACCCGACGACAGTCGCCTTCTTTCGGTGAACCGCATCGGCCAGGGCTGGCTCAACCCGATGACGCCAGCCATATCTGTGCCTTGGGAGTAGATGGCAGCGCAGCGCCCCAGCAGCAGCAGCAGCAGCAGCAAGCCACATCCTGTCCCCTCCATCGTCGGCTTCCCTTGAACCCGCGTTGATTGCGAGCCAAGACGAAATCGTAGCTGTCGTGCTTTCTCGCACAAACTCTACCCCGTGGGCGCACAGTCACATCGTACAAAGATGTCCGGGAAAGGTCCGATGCTGCAGGGAGGCTGCTACGCCAACGTCGTTCAACTTCCTGTCAAACCACCGTACTCCGTAAACAGTATGGGTTTCCAGTCATCTCCCCCCCCCCCCCTTCGTCGTCGCAATCGCTTCATGGATAAGGGTAGCTTGAACCTTGACCTTGAAGCTCGCAAGGCTCGTCCACCTCTCCGCGCGGCCCGCCGTCCGCCATCGTCCATGCTGATCCCTGCATCGACCAGGTTTGCCCGCTTGTCCTTTTCCTTTCTTTGCCCCCCAAGATACCCTAGGGACTTTACTCGACACCTGCGGATACGGATACATCCTCCAAGCTTTGCAGCTCGCTGCTCGAGTGAAACATCCCAGTAGAGCCCGCATCTTCTAATGGAAGCTCCATGTCGTCTGAACCAGGCATGCTCTTTAAAGACTGGCGGAGCCAAACGCGAAAGGCCGGCGCATCGCGCGTCTACGCCTAAAAATGAAATGGGAAAGCTACATGTCTCCATTCCTTTAGTAACTAACACCTTGGCTCTGCCATCATTCTTGACATGTTCTTGACACTCCTCGCACTCCGAACAAGCTCGGTATTCCAAATTAGACGTGATGCCTCTACAGACACATCAAATCATGAATCATGGACCGCCCCAAACGACTCTCCTGGTGACTTGAACGGTTACGCACCCTCTCCCTCTCACTTTTTTCTCACTCTCTCCCCGACTGGCGAATCACTCTCATCAGCTCACCGCCTCGGACCTCTGTTTCACGCACACAGTCGTCCATATCCAAGTAAACCAAGTTCTCGCTCGGCACCACTAGCTGCCTCGTCATTGCTCCATCAACATTCCCGGGTCAAGCCACACTCTTCCCGGTCTGGACCAGTGAATCCCTTTTCGCCCTAGTCCACCACTGCTTCTAGACCTTGCAGGCACTCAAAGACTCATAATCCTCGGACCCCAGCGCAGCAAGGATGTAAGGGTTCTCATTCCCTACGCCGATCTCTCCTCAGCCTCCCCGCCGTTTGCTCTTGACGACTTCACGGCCAACCCCCACCCTCCATCACGACCCCCCTCCTTCAAGACCTAGGTCGATTTCTCAACTTGTCCGCCCGTTCCGTTCACCCCATCACATCAATAGGTACCATGTTCACTAGCTACACCCACTCACATTTCTCACCATGCATTCCCCAATCGACCAAATCAAACGGTGGTCAGTTCCCGGCTCCAAATGTGGCGTCACGTCGAGTGGCTGAACTCTCATGAACTTTCCAGCTGGTCCACTGCCATGTTCAAGTGTTGTCCGACTGGCCAACTTTTTATCGCTAGCATCGGACGGCTATGTATGCGACCGGTGTTACTCGCAGCAGTTCGCAGCTCGAATCCCAGTCGCTTGCCAGGAGCACAACCTGTAGTCCGGAGAAACCTACAAAATGTCCGCCTTTTTCTTAGTGAGAAGCACGCTGAACAAACATGACAGGAAATGGCAGATATCCTTGGCATAAAGCGCTCACGTTCACTCATCTGTCCGATTTGGCACGAAAAGGCGGTCATCGTGGCGGCCGCATGAGAAAGAAGTCAGACAAATCACTGCTAGTCTCCGCTCACCCTTCCCGATCCTTCACACCATCATGTACGTCCTCCAACACCCCACTCCCAATCCTCTCTCGATGAAGTTGAATATCACCCCAATCTTTCTCGTATTGTGCTTGCTGCTCTTGATGGACCCAGAGGAATGCCGCATGACTTACCCCTTGGCTAATCCAACCTCGCCCCCCGAGAGCCTGCATCTCTTTTCTTGCTTTCAAGCCACTACCCCATATTATTACCATGCTGGCCGAGAAGCCACGGCCAGCCACGGAGCTAGTCTACTAGTAGCCCTATGACGGCGTCATGTCAGACCTACGGAGTTGATCTCTTCCTCCTCTTTGACCGTTGAACTGACAGAGATGTACAATGTTCATCGAAGACATGCGAATCTGCAAGTGCCATATTGCGGATATAGAAGAAGCCACATCGTACCATTTGGGTCCCTTGTCACTACCCAACTGCCATTCCGACTTCCGACTCCTTCGTCTGAGCGAATAAGAATGCCCTGCTATTGTCTTATGCTTAACAGTCATCCCGAACCAACCTCAGCCAAGTCTCTGCTGTAGCACTGACCCTGTTATCGAACATGGCGTCCTCTGAGCAGGGAACAAGTTCTGGTTAGGGTAGGACGGTCTCATTGGCAGCCACCATCTGCACACCCTCTTTCATAAGATCGTCTTGCTCTAGATATCTTTGGCACATCATCTCGAACCCCATGATCCCCACCCACCCCTCCTTCCCGGCGCGTTCCAGTCCGCCTGTGGCAAGCAGGTTGGTTTACCTATCGTCTTTCTTCGTGTGGCGCCCGGTAGTCTCGGATCTTGCCATCACGACGCGTAAATTCTAGAGACTCGGTTTTACGTGAGCTCTCGCCCCAGGTTTCAGACATACCCGCTGCGTTACAGGCCACAGAGTGACATTCTTCCATCGTACTACGGATCTTTCTCTTAAACTCTGGCTCCGAAAGATCGATAATGAGGGTCTGACAATCCAAGGTGGATCTGAGGGGTCTGCTGACCAAGGTGTAGATGCGTGGTGTCCCTTGCCATCGTGACGTCCGCTATTCCATTCGACGCGGCTGGCTCTTATGCTTTTCGTGGGGGTAAGGACAGGAACTTCAAGGTCATGCATGCCTTCCGGAGCGTAAGTCCCGTCATCTTTCCATCACCAACACAATATTATGAAGCTACACAAATTATCAAGAGCTTGATTCACTATTTTACGTTTGATCCTCTTGCGTTAGAGGATAGCGTACGGTGGTTCAGCTCTCATATTAGGTAGCTCCATGGTTTGTTGTTAGTCAAAACCAAACCTGTTATGTACAAAATCGCTTTGAATTTGCCCAATGGGACGCTAGCAGCCTAACTATCAGATCAAGCCACAATCCCGAGCTCTGGGATCCGTACGGACTGGGCGGCGGCTACGCGGTCACGGAAGGAACGCCCGTTTGTTTAGTAGCCTGGGGTTGTGACTTGCCATGTGACTCCAAGCCTGCGGCCAAGCGGTGTGGGTGGATGTCTCAGAGTCCTTGGTCTCCAGTGCGAGGACTATTGACGCGTCTGCTCGGGGCTGGGGAGCCGCTGCCGCTTCGTATCGTAGATAAGCCGGCATGTTCATTCTTCGACCGACTATTCTTCAATAGGCTGCCTTCACATCTCGTTTCGACCTCCATGGCCGTTTGCCAAAGGTTGTCCGAGGAAACTGCAGGGGCGACTAATCCCGATACACGCAATGTATGCAGGCTTGACAACTCACTTGACGCAATGGAAGAATGCAATGAGAGCCAGAAGGTCGGGGAGACTAGGCAACCCTCCGAGTAGAGTCAACATTAGAATGCGGCCTTGTGATTTGCCACGACATTTGTTTGTACTTTGATCAGCTGGACGCGCAACTATCACTGGGGAGGTTGTACAGTCTCAGGTGGGTGTCGTTGGATGTGGGCTTCGCCCACCCTCTGATGGCTTCGGAATATGCGACTCCTCGGACGCACAAGGCTGACAGTGGTTTCCGTGTTTTTGATGCTGCTGTGTAGGCCCTGCGGTGATCCGGATCATCGCGATGATGTTACGACGATAATGTACATGACAAGCCAGTCCATTTGGAATCATTCAAGGCGCTTTGAATGCAAAGATGCTTTTCTAGCCTCATCTCTTCGCACCCAAAAATCATGCAGAGTCTCAAAATGTTTGACGCGACGTAGCTTTTGCCGAATCCTTCAACTTGGAGAAGTCGATCGGCCGACGCTTGACTCCGGCGAGTCGTCTGTCTTGTCCGACGGGCAAATTCTCGGACATAATTCATACTCTAGGCCGTAGTGTACCCCTCTTTGTTACCAGTTCTTGTCAACTGGTGATGGCCCGGTAAGGACAAGACGAAGCAATAACGTTCCCTCCAGACGGCAACGGCTGGGGAAAACCCCCATTTCGTATAAAGATCTCGTATCGGACAGAGAAGGTGAGCATGCGAAGGAACCCAGGACATCTGCCAAACAGTACTTGTACCGACGATGCTAATCCTCATTTGAGCATCAGCATTATCTCGTACGATGGCTCGACACAATGTTGAGCTCCATGTAGATAGTTGAGCGGTCATGTGCCATGAGAAAAATAGAACACCTTGAATAAACGTCTTGTTCACTTTGACTCTAAGCTTCGAAATTAGCGCCGGAGCCGAAGATCGTCTTGTCGACTTTGAAAATAACTTCATAGACTCTGAGAGTGTAATGACCGTATCATATCGAAAATCACCGTTGATGAGGCAGTCTACCAGCATATTGAATAGATTCGCTTGAGCAACGCTTTCTGATGTACAAAATGGGCATATTTCTCCCTAGATGCAGCCCTCTATTCAAAATTACCCACGGTACTGCTGCCATAATGATTGGAATTGCAGCAAGAAACGTGTTTTCCCGTCACAGCCCTAGAGTAGAATACAATGGAGGGCCAGCGAGGGGTAAGATTGCTCCAACACTCCGCAAAACAGTAGAAGCAGCGGGTGCGGAGGCGACATGTGTGCTGATCGTGTCAACAAGGTAGGACGCAAGGGGGGTCTAGAAGACTTGTCAGTATACCCAGATTCTGATAATCGAGACTCGCATGACTAGCGAGTTTAGGGTAACCTTTACCTATGAAGACATATATGATACCGACGCCAACGATACTTATGCCGATTGTTGGAACCATCAAAACGACAGCTTTCTCCACCAAATACCCATATAAAAGCACCCCGAGTCGAACCATGGATACGGAGTATGCCATGAGGGGTAGACAAATTCAGGTCTCCTGACTCCATATTTGTGAAGCAACGTTGCGGCAAAACGGCCACCCCTGATTGAGACGGGTATTATTCAAATACATTCCCTATCTCTATCCTCATACACGTGAGACGAGAAGAGGTGGCTGAAAGCCGACTAGCCTATGAAGGCCACCAGTAATGCTATGGAGAAGAGGTAACTGAATAGCATATTAGAAAGGTACAAAGAACTCTTAGGTGTAGATGGGCAGAAAACATACCAGGTATCCATGTAGAACGCGACATAAGAAGAATGTGCGAGGACCACTCAATGTAGAACAAAAAGCCGTGATGCCTCTTCGTAACCCTGGAGGAAATCTCCGCTGTCGAACCCCCATCGTCTACAGCCGAGATTTATATTACTTGTAATCTCATGTGGCTGTTCTGATCTTTCTACGGCGTTTCTCGAGCAGTTTCTTCACAGAGGTCTCTGTGTGGACCAAGATGATGGCTATACCAAATGATCCTACGGCCTCCGATAGAAAGTGGGCAGGCACCGGCACATCAGCTGATAAAGCGAAAGACAAGCAAGACGCCAAGGCTGTGCGAGACAGCACAGGCTTGGTTGCTGTCATGGAGTCGATTTGAGATGGGACATGCTGGATATCTTCCGTACCCTAAACATAGACATAATGCGTGAAGTCAGAACTCCCCTTAAGGCGCTGAACTGCCTAAGAATGCTCGGTACGGCGTGAGCGTGAGCGGGTGAGGCAACTGCCCTACGTAGAGAAACACGTCAGTAATTGCACGATGAGACAATCAAGTCGCCTCGAGCCTAAACTAAGCTGTTCACGCATTTAGCATGGAAAAATACCCACAAGTAGGATCTGCACCAATCTTGACCTCATTGCCCAATGCATCGAATTTTCGGAATGTTGCGGCTTCTTCCAGTCGACGATGTATGATGAATCTTTCTCCGAGATCGTTGAACAATCACTGGCCGAAGGGGCAAAGTAAGGCGATCGAGCCGACTCATTGTCGTCAGGAATGCTGCTGAAGGCGGTGCCCATGTAGAGGTTGAGCTCGTCAACTGGGCCCCAGGGACGACCGTCCGCGCTGAGCCGAAACCAAGAAAAGCCCGATGTCCGTGAGTGTCGTGAAGATTCACTGCTGACCCTGGATCGTCTCTCCGCTGATGCCACTGGCTCTGGATACCGTGGCTCGTGTTGCCCCGTTCCCGCATGGTCTCCTTGGGTGGAAGCCATTGGGCCTAGGTTCCACACCCTGGTCTCATGAGAAGCTCCGGTAGATAGCTAAGCGAGTGTTTTCGGAAGGGAATGAATGGAAGAGATGACTACTGCCATCAAGACAGTCCAGCAGCCTGGGGTAGTGACCGGATGATATGCAGCGGGGAAGCAGCGCAGTGGGATCTGACCCTAGTATTCCCCCCGGGTTCGGACATCATTGTTTTGCCATCTGAGCACTGCCTGCTTGCCGCAGTCATACTACCGCTGTGTCGAGAGTAAACGACTGCCATAGTTGGTGATGTTGCGGTGCCTGACGTGGCCCCGCTAAATGGGCTGTCGATTGCTTCAGATAGATTCATCGGAGACTTATCACATGACGGATGCCGGTAAGTACCTCGTAGTACTCGTGCGTATTGTAGGACCGGCATGGCCGAGGAGCTCAATAGGTGAGCGAGTTAAAGGGCTGTAAAAGTCAGGCGTGAAACACGCGGGTAACCCCGGCCGATCTGGGTGTTGCGTAAATCATCTGCCGCGCGAGCCGACCTGCTGAGCGTTCAATAAATCATCAACTATGATTTTCTCACTGGGCTTGCCTTTCAGGTGTGCTGCTATTCACGGGGAGTTGGGCTCTAGGCCCCCTGTTTCATGTTGCTCGAGAATGAATCGCATGACGCCTTGTCCGAACCGTGTGACGGAAGTTTAAACTTGGACCCCCAGTTGTCAAATCCAGGCCCACGTCAAAGTTCTTTTTTAGAAGACAAGCTCGTCTTCTCGTCTTGTGTGACGATCGATTATGTATACCTGGGCAGATCCCATCGTACAATTCGCAGAATATCCCGTTCCGCCTGCTATCAAACTTTTTTAGCCATGCTAGTGACGAGATGGGACTTGACTTCTGCCTTTGCGATTGAACGCCTTGGAACAAATTACTGGAATCATTCGCAATCTCAATATAAAATCTCGCATTGATAATAATACAGGAACCATTCCGTCCTCTTGATGTCACCGTGGCTGCGCGATAACTTCAACAACCTAAGTTAGAACCAGGTTCTCTTGTGATTAAGAGGAAGGCGTCGATCCCATAAGAAGACTTGACACAAGATTATGTGGCTAATAGCGAATTAGGTACATAAAGGCATTTTTAACTGCACTGCTGTCTTCAGATCATGTGAAATTTATTGTGGTTCTCAGGATCTAAACATTGAACTACAAGCCGGCTGAGAGCACCATTGGTGCCGGCCGATGAACACTGGTCACCAACGACGCAAACAATGATAAAAAATCTAATCCATGTAGCGAGCTTGAGGATGACTAGCACCGATACAAGGTAGCGCCTGGGGAAAGAGGTCAGCAATCCCTAGTTACCTTGGCTGGCGAGATGACTGACCCGAAGCTGCATCGCGCTTGTATCGTCGAGCGCATACCCGTTTTGGGACCAAGCATTGCGAGAAGGGCCGGGGCCAACGTTGACAGCAACATGAAGAAGAGGACAATCAGAGACGAGTCGCGGAGATTGGAACCAAAGAGCGAAGGACCCAGCATACCGAACGTGATCCTTGAGTGCTGTTAACAGACAACATTCGCACCCTTGATAGTTAGTCTAATACACGGAAGAATACTGGCATTCATAGAGCACCAAACAGTAAATGCATTGAAGTATCGAGTTGATTTGCGCTCCCCCAGCGGAATCGGCTCAATGCCTTGTTCTTCAACTCAGCCCAGACGCAGAAGGTTGTGAAGTAAGCCATCGCGCTTATTGTGTCCATATTGTGGTTTGGTAATGACTAATTGATAGCTCTTCCCTTCAAGTTATGCGTGTAGTTGCTGATTCGCGGATGACGGCGGTGGCGCTTTAACATCCATCATGTTACTGACTTGCCGTGGTCTCTGATCTTGTACAAAGCCCTCGTGATGATGAAATCGAGTGAAATGAGAGTGGTTGCACAAAATCGCAAAAAGATGATGAGACTCTCAGAGAGCGGTACGTGGATGTGACAAGCTAGTTCAAGTCGCAGATCCGCTGCTGCTCGATCTTATCCTACCTGAGACCCGACTGTGTGGTACAAGGAGGGTGGCAATTGGGTATGCGTGGACGCACAAAGGATGACGGACGATCTAGTTTAGCTGATGCTGATGAACCACCGCAATGTCTCTGCGTTAGCACATTAGACAGCGTGACAAGTCAGGGAAGGTAGACGAAACTTGGAAATACCAGATCGAACACTATGAGATGTTTGCAGTAAAAATGGAACCACTTGTTGCGAGGATGCAAAACCACCATGGGAGCATGGCCGGCTGTCAAATACTATTTTGTATGGCTCTTGTCTATTACATTTAGGGCAGTCCACTAACGGGTGTGGTTCACACCACTCTCAAGTACCGATACTTTGCGATCAGTGACAACTTAAACTCAGTCAAGCCAACGTGGTTGTCATCGGCAGGTTTTTGCCCGTGGGCAACAAAATGGATGTAGCTGAACTTGGTCCTTGACTTCAAGGACCCCTCTAGCGCTTCGGGCTGTCATCCGAGTGGCTGGAGGCTTTGATGACTGTTCTTTGATTTGCGGAAGAAGTCTATTGTCGTCGAAGTCAATTGGCTCCTCTCGCTCCGCCCGTCTCAGAGAATGTCGTTGACGATCGAGAAAAAAAAAGACTGCGGCCAAAAAAAAGAAAATGAAGAGAGAGAGAGAGAGAGAGAGAGAGAGAGAGAGAGAGAGAGAGAGAGAGAGAGAGAGAGAGAGAGGGACGGTGTTCAGCCTCCCTCTGTTTTTCTTAGAATTAAAATCACCACTAAGGTTCTAAATACACAGATTTGGTTGGATTGGCATGTCGCTTGCTTGAGCTCCTGGTTGGGAATCGCTAGGGTCTCTGCGCGGAGTTAGGCTTCGAACAACCAAGGTCCAATGGAGTTTTCTCTTCTTCTTCTTCTTCTTCTTTTTTTTTTTTTTTTTTTTTTTTTTTTTTTTTTTGGGGGGGGGGGGGGTTTTTTTTTTTTTCTTTTTTTTTTTTTTTTTTTTTTTTTTTTTTTTTTTTTTTTCTTTTTTTTTTTTTTTTTTTTTTTTTTTTTTTTTTTTGGGGGGGGGGGGGGTTTCCCTTCTTGTTCCTTCCCTTTTTGCATGCAGCTGCTTCGCATTCTTACCAAGTATTACTAAAAACGCGCTGCCTCACCGAAATTTAACTAGGTCGCAGGACCAACGTCTGAAGCCTGCCTCCCCTCGATCAGTTCTCAGTGGTGTTCGCCCAAAATACCTGTACAGTAGCTTATCTCAACGAAGTTCCGCCACTACTATTGACAGCTTTTGTCAGATGGCTGCGAACTGTAGAGGGCGAGGGATCTTCCAAGGGTGTTGGTGGGGAGAGACTGCCTGCTCCCTTGAAAGAAGGCTGGAAGATCATGGCCTGCACTTCTAGGCACGTAAGGTATTTAAAGAGGAGACATCAAGGGCTGTCGTCCTGATGTTCTGAGCTTGTTGCTAGTAACAACCCCCAAGGGTTTGCAAGCCGAAGCCAAGGTGCCATAACCTGATGACTTCGAGTTATCTGCATGGCGGGGATTCAGGGCGGAACAGTTAAGCCCGGATGGAGCCCGGCGCCAAACATGGAGAAAGTATCGGCCCCGAACTCCACCTAACCGGTACGGACTACCCCTTACCCCTGATTTGAACCCCATTTCTTTTCTGAAGGCTCGCATTGCTGGTTGCACTACCTACGCCCCTCAAAACGCTTAAACCTTGAGAGCCACAACGGTCACTTTCGTCTCAAGGGACCTAGCTCAACGCGCTACGTGGCGGCTCCTGAGACACAATGTCCCCTCGGTTATATGCTTTGTCTGAAGCTGACATTGAGCTGCTGTGGCCCTACACCATGGCTTCCCGTCGCGAACTCTCCAGTCAAAGCTCCCTTGGAGTATCCTGAACAACTATACGAATAGTCGACAAACCCCCGTTCGACATGACAAGATGGCCAATCGACGACAACGGCGTGTCATAATCATCGCCGTAATCCTTTTCGGTCTCTTTGCTTTCCACAGTCTTCGTTACAGCAGGGAAACGCCTCCCGTCGTCCGCGAACATGTCAACATCCGCCTCGTTAAGAGTAGCTTCGACTGGGCCAACCATCGTCACAAGTACCCCGTATCCCCATCACGAATGCACCATCTACCTACACAGCGGCCAAAGACTCTCCCGCGAGTCCAATTCAATTTTGGCGCCAAGCGAATGCGCAAGAACGATGCGAAATCTGAATCGCGACGAACGGCGGTCCGAGAAGTCTTTGTCAAGAGCTGGAATAGTTACAAGGAGTACGCGTGGGGCTTTGACGAGCTGACGCCGGTTACGGCCAAGGGGAAAGACACCTTCGGCGGTTATGCAGCAACTCTGGTTGACGCGCTCGATTCCCTGTGGATAATGGACTTGCGCGATGATTTTGACCTTGCCTTGTCTGTCATTGGGGCCATGGATTGGGATGATACAAAGGAGACGGCTGTCAATGTCTTTGAGACTACTATCCGTCATCTCGGAGGATTATTGAGCGCGTACGACCTTAGCGGGGAACCCGTATTGTTGCTCAAGGCCATTGAGCTCGGCGACATGCTGTATGCGGCCTTTGACACACCGAATAGGATGCCTCCTTTCTGGTTGGATTTCCAGCTTGCTAAGGAGGGAAAGCTCGTGGCTGGTACATCGGATCCTTCAGCATCGCCATGTTCGCTATCGCTTGAGTTCACAAGACTCTCGCAAGTGACCGGGGACCACAAGTACTTTGACGCAATCGAGAGAGTCAAGCTGTTTCTCGAGAGCACGCAGCGGGAGACTCAACTTCCAGGTATGTGGCCGGCGCTCATCAACTTCCGGGATGAGAGTGTTTTGCAACACAACGAGTTCACGTTGGGAGCGCTCGCCGACTCTCTGTATGAGTATCTGCCCAAGATGCATGCTCTGCTCGGAGGGACGGACCCAGCCTACGAGAAGATGTATCGACATGCGATGCACGTCGTTGAGCAGTACCTCCTATTCCGTC